TAAATTTAAATTTATCAGTTAACTCAATTTCAGGCTATTTGAAATTCTAATACGTAACACTTACATTGTAACTAAATCATCTGTAGTACGTCGTACACTTTAATTGGATAAGCTAACAACATTCAGACTTAAAAGTAAAACAAAACTCAGTCAGTGTAAGCTGCTACGTTCGACCATGCTCTAGAGGTCAAAGGCTGAGAAAGCTAAGAAAACCTCCAAATAACAGCTACACTCGGTGTTACCAAACATTAGCCTTGTGACAAAGATCTTTCATCCGGAAGTCGAGTTATTCATGTGTGTAAAATAAATATTTTTCCTTTCAAGAATATATCAGACATAGAAGAGGTCAAAACTCAATCTGGACACTGAACCCCGTAGGGCTAATGAAGGTTTTAGAAATGAAATGCGAAAAGTTAAGCATAGATAGTTGTGGTGGACTAAACTAAACGAAACTATAGTTTGAACTTCTAACGATGAAAATTAAACCGGAAATTATAAAATAACATATTATTTCACTTGGGCGATTCCACATATAAGAGATAATATCATCACAAAACTGAAGAGAATAATTAGAAAATCAGACTTACCTATTAAAATAGTACAAAAAACCATGCATCTCCCTTAGATTGTTAATAACAAGTTCAGCATACAAAAAAAACAAACACGATGTATGAAAATTAAGTAAAGCTACTAAATATGACTACATGATAGATGTCATAGTCAAATTGTTACTTATGAAGTAACTTCTGGCAGATGGTCTGGACGTATATAGGATAAACTTGCCGATCCGTATATGATCAAATATCTGAACATGTGCGTGACATCCAAAACCTCAATATTAACAAAGCTATTGCTGAACATTAGGGCAAATAACACGGGATATCATAAGCAAATGACACTTTATCAGATGTCAAGGTCTGATCTAAATGTAATAGTTTTCTGGACTGAAGAATTAAAGAATCCATTTCAATAAAGAAGATAAACAAATGTAAGGGTTAGCCTTGGCTTTAGTGTAGAAACGTTAGTAGCATTCTTAAGATTAGATATATCTTGAACTCTGACGAAGTCTCTACACACACTCATGAAGATTAATATTTCCGACATTGTTTTGTGTATATATTGATATGATAAGATGAAATAATAATATATTATAATATAATACAAATGTATAAAGATATGTTCTATATACATAACGTTTCCTATTATAAATCCAATGATTTTAATATTTTACCTGTTGATTAACACATATTATATATTTATCATTTTTGACTTTCAACAATTTAAATTTAAGAGTGTTTGATACATATTTTAATATGATTTGGACTTTCTAAAAACGTGTATCAATGTTCGATTTATTGATGACAGTGATTTAACTGGATTAGGGAACTTGTAGGATACCGATAGTTCCTAACGAAGCTGTAATAACGAAATACTGAGCTAATAAAGTTACATACTGGAGATATAGGTCTTCATTTAACTTAATAGAACGATTCTGAACACTGCTGTACTTTTTACATTCATTAAATTAATGGTGATATAGATATATACGGTACGGATTTCTTTTCTTCCTCACCAAAGGTAAAATTGTAAAGAAAATCTGTGACGTAAAAGCCTCATGCTTTCCTTGATTGGCCGTGCCCTCTGCCGTGGATTGTAGTTTCGTCTATTCAAGGCCCATTAGCACAGCTTGGGCCAGTTCTTTTTAATAACGGTTCAGGCACAAGATATCATTACTCACACGACTAAATTATTTTAGGTTGCTTTACTAATGATTGAAAAAGACTTAAAAACTCCATAAATTGATTAAATTAGATAGTATTTTATTCAGCAGATTAACGCACCATACTATACAACACAATGTTCAGTAACAGTTTGAGACAAACAACGTTGAGCATCTATCTTTAGGAGTACAGAGTTCCATCCCTTTAAACTCAACTGGACTTTTCACTAACGTTTTGACTGCTACCATAGAAAACTAACAAAGTCAAACATACTACTGCTACACAGAATAGTTCATCACACTCCGTTATGACACCATTTAATTTCTAAAAGATGAGAATGTTTAATCTATTATTATCAAATATCACATCTATAGCATTTCTACACCCATTAATTACACAATACTTTTATCTGTATAGTACGTTATTGTAGTAAATATGTTTGTTTTCTGAAAACACGTAAAGCTATGTTACACAGTAATAATAACAGCACATCGCATCAATAAGT